ACATCTTGATGAATGGTTTTCAAGAAAGCAGTCAAGCCGCTCTTCGCGTCAAGTACCAGACCTCTCACAAAATCAAGCTCCTTTAAACATAGAGTCTACACATGTTCTTAGTGAACCATCTAGTGACACTACTTCAACTCTAGAATTATCTCCTAGAGACTTAACTCAAAATTCTACTCCCATTAGTGGTGAATTGGACAACAATGTTGAACACTCTACACCATCTTCACAGGATGTTCATGTTGTTCCTACATCTTCCACATCACCCTCCACTATAAATGAAATCTCACCAATGGTTGATTCTCAAATAGCTCATGTACCATCTAGACCACATCGAGAAAGACATCCTCCTTCTCACCTTAAAGACTACCACTGCCCCACTATCCCTGTACATTTTGATGCCGCTCTCCTAGTTTCTGTTGAGCCCAAAACCTTAAAATCTGCACTTAAATATGAAAATTGGTCCAAGAAGCCATGCAAGAAGAAATAAAAGTACTTGAACACAATAAAACTTGGTCTCTTGTTCCTCGTCCCCAAAATGCCAATGTTGTAGGATGCAAATGGATTTATAAAACTAAGTACAAGGAAAATGGTAGTGTAGAGGTTTAAGGCCACAACTATTCCAGGACTTGATTTTGGGGAAACATTCAGCCCAGTTGTCAAGGCCACAACTATTCATGTCATTCTTTCCTTAGTTGTGCATTTAGCCTCTTAAGTAGTTAGATGTGAAAAATACTTTTTTGCTTGGAACCCTTAATGAGAAAATTTACATGGAACAACCACCTGGTTTTATAAATTCTACTTTCTAATCATGTTTGCTTGTTGAATAAATCATTTTATGGTGTTAAATAAGCACCATGTGCTTGGTTTTCCAACTTTCAAATTGCTTTATGTCTTTGGGTTTTCATTGTAGTAAAGCTAATCCATCCCTATTCATTTATAATCATAACACTAATCTTATTCTTTTGCTTGTTTATGTCGATGACGTAATTGTCACTGGTAATGCCACTTTGCTTATTTCACACATCATTGATCATTTGAATAAAGCGTTTGCACTCAAAGATTTAGGAGAATTTTAGCTATTTTTTAGGCATTGAAGTTAAATACTTTTCTGGTGGCCTCACTCTTTCTCAAACCAAATATGCCCATGATATCTTGAGCAAGACAAAAATGCTTAAATCATCCCCAATTAGTACACCAATAGCCATTAAACCAAATTCCCTTCGTGATGATAATAAACCAACCGATCCTACCTTTTGCCGACAAATATGTGGCTCACTTCAATATCTTACTTTCACTAGACCTGATATCACACATGCTATCAATCAAGTTTGTCAACATTTTCAAGATCCTACCATGAAGGACCTTCGAGCAGTTAAACGCATTTTACGCTACATTACCCTAAATCATGGTCTTCGTTATCTATCGTAGAGTTCTCTCATTCTTAGTGCTTTTTGTGATGCAGATTGGGCTGGTTGCCTGCAAACACAGAGAAGTACTACTGGCTTTTGCATTTTTCTTGGCTCTAATTGCGTGGCTTGGACTTCTAAGAAGTAGCCAATAGTCTCCCGCTCTAGTGCTGAGGCCGAGTATCATGCATTAGCAACTTCTGCTGCAGACTTAGCTTGGCTCAAATATCTCTTCCATGATCTTGGAATTCATCTTGAAAAGTGTCCAGTCATTCTTTGTGACAATAAAAGTGCCATTCACATGTTTCACAATCCTATTGTCCATGCTCGCACGAAGCATATTGAGATTGACTATCATTTCATCCGTGAGAAAGTTATGGATGGCACTCTTAATCTTCGCTATGTTTCTATCACAAAACAACTTGGAGACATTCTCACAAAAGCACTTCCAAAGGACTCCTTTGCCATTTTTCAATACAAGCTTGGCATTTGTTCTCTGCCATTGCCAATCTTGAAGGGGGGGTGATAAGATCCTCAAAAATCAAGCATTAGCTCAGAGCAATAATGATGCTAGTGAAGGATTAAAGAAGAGAGATGATGTTGGTCACAATCACGCCAAAATAGAAGATACCCGTTGAAGAGAAATCCTACAATATTGCAAACATTAAAGTTATAAATATTCCCTCAATTAGTGTAGCTAATGTTTTGAGAATCTCCTTTAATGTATTATTTGACCGTTAGTTAAAACTTGTATATATGTAAAAGCATGTACAAGTAATCGGTAATGAAAGGATTACACAATTACATTCAATCTCAACTTCCTTCATTCTCTTTTTAAGTATAGAGCATATTTTTCTGAATTACATCTGATGGTCGAAAGAACGAGAAAATTGGCGGGTTTGTTTTCTGGGAGGTGTAATGGACGATCTTTTTGATCGATTTGGTCATTGATTTTTCTGCGGTTTGAATTGACAAACTTTTTTTAAAAAAAAAAAAAACCCCCCATATTCATTAAAACAAGTAAAACAAATTACATGAAGACATTTACTTTAGCTAACCTATGCACATTTTCTACAATAGTTCTACTTACTTTTTCAAACTTGCAATACACAAAATTTCTTTTAACATCTAATATATCCTCTCCTAACTAATGTGCACTGTATTTCTCATTGGAAACAGGTTTATGCATCACAACGTTTATTTACAGCTTTAATTAAGGAGTTTGGGCCTTGATCTAGAAAAGATTAACACAAATGTAGGAGCGATACTCTAAAATTTTTCAAATTATTGTGGTTCGTGACTTCGACGTAGCTGTTTTTTCTTTGAGAGAAATTGAAAAGTAGAGATCGTGCTCGGGGACAAAACAACTTTGACTCTTTGAAATGCCTTGGATCAGAATCAATGAATAACTTCCGCAGATTGCACGGCTCATTAAATGAGGAAAGCTCGTCATACCCTTTTAGGAAATGGGAAAAAAAAATTTTAATCTTTGGCCTTTCGTACACAACTCAAGAAGCAAGTCGTGAATGCGGCATGTTTTGACTCCACCGATGGATCTTTCGTTTGCAACCATGATCAAGCTTCGTCGAATTAAGTCATTCAAGCACTCTTAAGCGACATCTTCTTCGCTCTTGATCCTGGATTTCCAAATGAATCCTTCAGCAATCCATAAGCGGAGCAGCCCCCTGACTAAAATCTCTCCATCTTCGGATGTTGTCCCAAAATAGAGCAGACATGCATGGCTTCAAATCATCTGGCCTCAAAGTGTTCATGCAGTGTTTTGTAATGGAAAATCACGCGAGTTTAAACCATCTAAAATGCCTTCCCACCTCTTCAGATCTGTGTTTCCGAGTATACAAGCTACGATTACAATCATCAGAGGTAATCCCTTTCAACTTTCAGCAATTTGCATTGCAACTTACAAGATCCCTTAATGCTGGAGTCCAACCGTTTGCCAGAAATACCTTGCTTTGTAATAACCTCAGGGCATGTTTGATAAAAATTAGTGCGTAATTCTAAATGCTTAATACTGAATTAGAAATACTGAATTCATTAATTAGTTACAGAATAAGCAATAAGTTAATTTTTATTACTTATATTTTATAATGCACTTTTAGCACCACTTAATTCATTAAGAGGTTATTTTTTGTTATCAAACATGCTGAAATGAAAAAAAAAATGCTTAATCTAATAATTTTAAGTATTAATTGGTGAAGCATATTGCGAGGCGCAACATCACAAAGACGGGGTCAGAATAATTCTACTTCTCACCATATCATAAGGGAATGATTCAGCCAAATTAGCCCATGCGTTGAAATGGAAATCAGGCCAACTTACTGATGAGCAAGTGAACAATTAATGAGAATGGCCAGCAAAGGAAATCAAGAGAAAAAGTCAGAAGATTGAACACAAGGAAAACATTAATAAATATTTAATGGGCTGATGTCAATAAAAGGATGGCATTCATTGTCTCCACCAAACACAACTTAGCAGGTAAAACAATGTAAGCTTCATCCAAGCTAAGCTAAGTGATGATGATAATCTGTAGTTTCAGTTGGTCACAATTGACCTGTATTGTTATCTTAATCTAGTTTCATCTCTACTATCTGATTTCCAGTGGATATTCCACTTACTTATATGACAAAGTGACTATTAAGATGGAAATAAAAAAACGGAGTACTGTTTATAAAATTTTGTAAGAATCAAAACAGCACTGGATGAAACTCAGTTAGCTAAATGCCAATCCCACAAATTATACAGGAATTTGTTTTTATGAAATTTCAAATGTACCTTAACTCAATAAACCACTTAACATTAATGAAAGTATTGGATTAATGAAATGAGACAAAAATTTATCCTTCTTTCTCATAAGTTGAGATGAGATATTTTGAATTTGGAATCAATGAGCCTGTTGGACTAGAGGAATTAGTACTCTCTATGATCCTAAGCAACAAACTTGAACTAAATTTAGTATCAAAAATTGTACCCTATACTTAGGACTAGAGGAATTATCATCTTTTAATTTTACATTTATACAATAACCTACTCTTATTACAATAAGGATATTGGAGCTACTCCTTCTAGATTACGAGGTATTGGAACACATTTTGTCAAATGTTTAGTCTAATTTATCTTTGAATAGGTTGATTCATGAGAGATGCTTCGAAATATCTCACGTGAAAGCCGTAGATTATGCTCGAAGCATACAACTAAACCAATGGCCAAAAGCAGCGTGATGCCTGTACAACAATTTGTTCTTTTTTCTTTTTTTTTGGTCAAGAAGCAAATGATTCTGGCTGCGGCATTATGCATTTATGCATCTAGATTCTAGCCGAGGACATTTTATCATCGATCAATTGAAAAGACATTTTGAGGGCTTCCAAGAAACCTGCGTATAAATGCATTGACATGAAGGTTGGATTTTTAAAAAAAAAAGAAAAAAAAAAGAAAAAAAAATGCCATTCCTCGTATGAATCAGAAGGAACAAAAGGCTCTACTGGAACCGGCCAGGGCAAGTTTTTTTATACAAAAAGCCGCTAGACAAAGTTCCCGCACATTCTACTCCAAAAATCCTAAACTGCAATTGATAAATCAGGTTATTGATGATTTGCAAACGGGGCAACATGTTTTCCTCTTCAGCCAGGGATCGATGCACTGTTCAGAGTCAAGGAAACACAATCAAACCGGTCAAGTGTTAAAACTATCTGAAAAGCACCAAGAAAAGGGTAGGGCAAAGGAGAGGGAGGGAGGGACAAGAGGCACGCACATCTTTGTGAAACTTGTGAAGGCAAGGAAGATGTCGTATAGTGTCCCCCATCTCTGGTGTATCAAGACAAATGGCACAAGCTTCTTCAAAGTTAGCAGTCTGCACAAAAGGAGCACCGTAGTTAGTTACCGTCACAGTAATAAGAGCATTGATCCTAAGCTAAATGGTCCCACTATTTCTATGCCATTGCTCATTATCACGATATGTAAGTATGTGCCATCTTAGAATAACATGAAGTCTGCTCACAAACAAGTTATTTGGCAAAATTCTAACAAGTCAAGTGGCTTACCTGAACTGTTGATTGTGGCAAACCATTAATCAGAGAAGTCGACGCACCACGGTGGTGATTATTCTCATCAAGTGCCAATAGCATCTCATAGTCATTCCTGAAAGCATATAAATAGAGGGGGAAGAGGATTCAGAAAAGAATCAGATACAATATTTCATGACTATGAGACCTTCCAGAGGAAATAATGAACAACATTTAAAATCCGCTATTTACTAATACATTTTTCACCATCTTACACCTACTTTTATAAGTGGGCCACACACAATCATATTAGTAAGCGAATAATAGGAGAATAAGTTGAAAGTAACACAATATATATCCCCCAATATCAAAGGTGGGTGGGATAGGAAGAAACCAGTTAATAATATATATCCCCCAATATCAAGATACCAAACAAAGAAGGAAATTCTAACTATAGATACCGAAAAGAAGAAACTGTCTACAGGACTCTTCATTTAGACTTAGATATCCAACTCATCCTACTAATTTTTCCCCCCTTTTGGATTTGCTCTCAAGGAGGTTTGAAACCCCCGGCTCATGGTTATAGTCCCACCCTAACCATTCCACCCAACTCCCCCACCCTATCATGCTTAGTACGTTTCACATACATAAAGAAGAAACAACTACAACTCAGTTACTGATTAATCAACTCATACTCCAAGACAACACTTATCAGAATAGTGGACAAGGTTTTGGTTTTAAAATGGACACGCTGCAAGGGGGACCAGTTATTTTTAGTGTAAATACAAATATAACAAACAAATCATTTGAAATACACTCTTAATAGGAAATATCCAATGATCTACCAAAAAGGCAAGGATGACAATCACTTGGGACAAACGAACAAATTTTAAAACAGGCGCACGAATCTCAACTAATTACACTTCTAAGAGTGATGCAAGGCCCAGGTGGTAGCCCCAGAACTATTACTCTTCAAGCAATTCCGAGCTAAGTGTTTCAGTTATTAATTATTAAAGGTCACAGACGAATACAAAGAATCCTTCATCATATATCTTACTCATTGAAGTCACGTTGGGTTTGAAGCAAGCTACTGTTCACCCTCATATCGTCGCTGATAGCCTCTAGTGCCTCCAAAATGTGCATTCTCTGTATTATTCATCAAGAAGATACATTAGAAGGATATGAGATAGGGAGGGAGGGAGGGAGGGAGGGAGTACCAGCACACATACACATGTTTTAGTGTTTTGTGGAATGATTTTCGGCAAATTAAAAACACCAAATCAATTACAGCCTGAGATAGTCAGAGTTTATAAACTAGACTTTAGTGAACCATAAATCTTGTATAATGACATATTTACACCTTATCTTCTTCAGATAAGATTGTAAGATGCACTGTGTGCATATATATATTTTTTCAGTTTGCATTTTCTTTCCCAGTTACAAGTCCCCAAAATTTCTGGCTTCAATCCTTCTGCACTTTTCATCTCCAAAGTTTTAACAAAGGACTAAATTTGTGATAGTTTCCATTCGACTGTTAGTTTCTCTTTAAAATTTCACCCCTACATGGCTACACCATAAAGAGAAAATCCAGGAAGAAGATGAATGGAAAAGATGACTTAAAGAGAAAATCTAAAACATAAAAATTAAGAAAAACATTGAGTCTAAGCAAATGAGATCGAAGAAGATGGTAGTTTATCAAAGGTAAAAACAGTTAGGCATACCGTTTCAACATCCATTCCTGCTGGGAACACGGGATCTCTTGCTCTGCCAGATGATAAAGTGCGAGGCTGTCCAGGGAACCGGTTTCTCAATCTGGACATTCTATTGCTTGTGGAAGCTCGAGACTGAGAGCCTCTACGAGCAAGGGTTGCAGCTGCAGTTGATGGTATTTGTGGCTGCCTAGATGAGCTTGCTACAGATGACCTTCTCTGCATGACAGGAGCCCATGTAATATTTCCATAAGAAACTCTTTGACTTTATTATCATAATCGCATATCAAGAGTAAGAGTAAGTATAGCACACCCAAAAATGGAACACCCTACAAAAGATCGTTCTCCCAGGTCACTACAATCAAACTTCTACCAGAAATACTCAACCAAGTAGAATCTATTTGGAGCATTCAGCCACAAACAAGTAGGAGTAACTAAGGTTAAATTGACTATAAAGAGGTATCAAACAACCACATAACCCAACTACCATATATACTTCAACATTTATTTTTATAAACAAACTCGTACTAGAACACCATAATATAAGGGTAGTAAATGGATCAAACATATTGCACACATTGAGTAACGTCTGGATATTAAAAGGATCAATCATACAGCACACATTGAGAAACATCTGGATAATAAAAGGATAAAGCATATAGCAAGCATGCAATGACTTACAGCATTAGACCCGTTTCTTCTCCCAGAAGAACTGGCTGATGGCTCATATGCCTGCTGCAAGGCCATTGCCAAGGTTGCATCCATCTGCCATCAAACAGGACATATTAAGAGTAATGAAAAAGTTTTGAAGCACATGAAAAAGGTGAACATGAACGAGTAATATTACCTCATTCCCACCAACACTAGGCACTTCATTATAAAATTGTTCTTGAAGTTCCCTCGCTAAGAGTTCATCAGCTTCTATTTGCATTGCCATAGCACCAGTATCATGGCCACGGCTACTTTGAGTAGAAGGTCCATCAACTTTAGCGCTTGGACTACTCTCATCAATTTCGATAACTGGCACTACAGGATCCAAGGGGTTCCTACTTCTGTTTTCATACTTTCTTGGTACATTCCCAGATGAGCCAATGAGTACAACTTCTGGACTATTAAAGGCTGAACGAGAGCATTCACCATTATTACTTGATGTAAACTGCTGCTTCTGCCTTTTTGTTTTTTCGTTCACAGCAGGTTGATGTCCCATTAAATGGCCAGGTTCAGGCATTGTAGAAGGTAAAGAAGGTACATGAAGATTCATAGGATGGTTGAGACTGATCCCAGAAGCACTTCCAGTATCTAATTTCTTTGCCATAGTCATGGGAGATCCACTGCTCAAATCAACCCACTTATCAGAATAATGCTTTCGACTGGGGGATGGGAAACTTAATTTACTACGATTACGTGTACTTATCCACCCACCAAGTTCCTCACAGCTTCTAGATGGGTCTTTAACTATTTCAGTAATCAGAGATTTCCTGGCATTGAAAGAAGAATTCATGACGATCAGATTATAAAGATCTATACTGAAACCTTAATACTAGCACTGTTGATAACAGCAATAAACTAAAATCAATAAAAACACACATAAGGTGATGCAAGGCTCACTAAATTATTTCCCGAGTGCATATCCTAATCAAGGAGAAAAACCAAGAGAAATAGAACACCAAGTTATACAGCACCTGGCATGGACGCAAACGTGTCATACACAGAGCAAACATGATCTTGTAATACCCGGATAAACATCCGAACAACAGTAAGTCTATGGTTACCTACCCTATGCTTGGTTGCCAATGTAGATAGGATACTCATAGCCCCTTCACAAATTAGTAGCAATATGGGAATTCAATGGAAAGCAACATTTCTAAATAGCTGCCTCAGTTTATTCTTCTCCCTGCCCTACCCCCAAAAAAAAGAGGAGAATAATAGCTCCATCTTTTAGTTGTTTTTATCTCAGTTTGAGCAGCACATTCCTACTTCAGACTCTTAAATATAGGGGTAAATGGGTTTTCCATTCTAAGAAAGCAATGGAATAACATTTCTACGCAATGTAAAAACATCCTCAATGGTTACTGAACAACAACTACAACGTTATGATCTTACAAGAAAAACTACCTCTGAATAAATAGAGAAAGCAGTATCAGATCGGGAAAGAAATGGATTAAGAAGGTACCTGCAGGATAGATGAGTACTTTGGGCTTCAGCCTCGTTGATTGTCAATGGAGTGCCCAAGACACTTTTACCCTTAACAGGAAGGGATTCGTGGCCACTGTCAATCCTCTCTGTCCCTCCAATATTTTGAACATCAGATTCCACCTTCTCCTTCCCAACAGACTCTTTTGCCCGTGCTATGTTAAGTGGGGAAATACAACCATTTCTTACCAATCTCTTTTGGCCAGTAACTCTATGCATGGTATTAGAAGGAGCCACAGCAGTCTTAACATCTGCAACTTTGTGGTGCGCATTACTCGCCGAAGTGACCACATTAACATAATCAGACCCTGAACCTGATCTCCCAGCTTCTTTGCCTTTATCTTCCGAGTGAGATGTCATCGAAGAACTCACATTACTACGTGACAAAGATGGCCTGACTACTGATGGCAATTTTCTCCTAAATCTTTCATCTCTATTATCTGGGACCCCAAAAGGCAAAGCTTTTTTGCAAGCTCCAACACGCCCATCGAATTCTTTAGTATCTACAATAGGGCCACTGCCCAAAGAAGATTGGGAATATGGCTTTTTCTTATTATTCTCTGTAGGTTGAAAACGAGTATACTCATGAGTAGGCATATCTGCAGTCACCAGTCTTCTTGTAACAGAAGAGTTATTTGAAGAGGATGGGTGTCCCAAACTGTTCTGATCAGACACACTTGAAGGAATAACGCTCTTTGAAGGAGATTCCCAAAATTTTCTGATCCCATTCTCCTTAACTTTCAAAAAATTTATAGCCGGTCCATCAGGACGACTGCGATTTTCTAGAAACCCAGACATGGATGAGTTCATGCGTCTGTCCAGAATGCTCTTGCCATTCACATTCTGAGCAGTTATTCTATCAGGGGTGTCAGGAACATCAATTATATGATCAACATCCATCTGATCCATACTCTGCATAATATCTCCAGAAACTGATGAATTCAGCAAACTTAACAACCATACAACAAAGCACACATCATATCACAAATGAAAAAATGACAGACGACTAGTTAAAATTATAAGCACAAAAATAAAAAAAATAAAAAAAAGAAAAAAGAAACAAAATCAAAAAATTAATGCCATAAGAACAAAAGTATTATTTCATTTGCATCTAAAATCAATACATAGCAAAATCAGGAATTTATTTCAATTATCTTCTTCCAGGTATTTACTTCCAATGCCATAGAAACAATGCCATTATATCAAATAATAGGTCAAATAATTTCTCAGAATTCCAATAATCTACTAAACAGATTACCATAACGACGGAAAATTCGAAAAGAACACGAACCCAGCACGAGATTTGTATCGTATATCCCCAAGCCAAGAAGGAAATTCCCGAAAGATCCAAAATTTAAATTGAAGGTAGCAATGCATTAGGGAAGGGTAGGGAAAAACAGCAAAATTAAACATACCACAAAACATCAAAATTTTGGCTCCTAATAAAAGAAACAATTGGGAATAAGCAAATTAAGGAGGATAGATTATGGAGTTAAAACAGTAATCAAGGGACAAAAGAAATACCTTTGATTGATTTCTCTCGAAAATTTTTGAAAATTCAAAATCTGCAGGTGTTCATCGTCTTGCCCCTTTTAGGCTAGGTTTGTTATATCCAGGGAATGAACGCTTGTGTTCACGCGCCAAATCGAAAACGGTGATGAGAAAGATTGGGCATGTCGTTCGTTGGGTCATACCTTACGTATTTCAAAGATTTGGGCTGGGTCTTTTCGAAGTAACGAGGTATGGGCTTGTAAGCCCAGATTTTTTTAATTTTTTTTTTTTGGGGGCGGGGGTGGGGCAAGTTATTTGTGTTTTTTCCGCGTAATGACTCAAATATTACGCGTAACGCGACAGTGCTCTTATTTTAAAGCTACGCTAGATGCTTGGCCTAAGCAGATGTCCGGGCGCCCTTCTACTTTAAATTTGTGTTAATAGATAAATAAATTCTTGATTTAGAAAAAATTAAATAACTATACATTTGATTTTTTTTTTTTTAGTCAAAAATAAAAATAAAAATAAAAATAAAAAATATCTGCCAAAGCAAAAAAATATTAAAAAGTACAACGATGTAGAAATCATACAAAAGAATGTGGAGTAATAAAGGGGATAAGTTTATGGATAAATTTAAATGCTATTTTAATTTGATTGATAAATGATAAATGTTAGGAGTTAAAATTGTGTAGTTATTTTTGTAAAGTAGCTTTATTTCTCGGGATAAGATTTTTTTTTCTTTTAAAAAGGGATGACACGTGGCAGAATGATTAATGCAATATGGTGCACTTGGAGCCAAAAAATTTTAATAAGAAATTGCCACATCAACATCCTGTATTCTACTTTAATAGGGTAATAAAAGGGATATGTTTCGTATTTTTAGAATAATAAATTTCCAATTCTCATGCCAATTTTTTTTTTACATTTTATTAATATTTCTTAAAATAAAAAAAAGCCAACATTGTACATACAGGAATGTATTTTAAAAATTTTACGATTCATAATATTTAGATAGTAATGATACATACATAAAAAAAAAAATTCAAGAAAAATGTATAAAAAAATTATATGATTTTATTATCTGTACTATTTTTCCAACTTTAAATTACAATGCCTAACAAAAATTAAATTAAAATATTTCGGGGACAAAAATATCATGCTCCAAGCACTAGCTGAGGTTCATATGATGATGATTGAGCACAATTGATTTCTCCAATAACTCTAAACTAAAGAACTCAGGTTGAGGTTGATCCAAGACCGACATACTTTAAGGATGTCAAACAACAAAAGCCAATTATTAGTTATTTTTAGGGAAAGCGCAAAACCCAAAAACAAAATAAAACAAAACAAAACAAAACAAAACAAAAACAGAAACAGAAACAAAAAAACAAAAACAAAAAAAAAACAAACAAACAAACAAACAAAATAGAGAGAGAGAGAGAGACCCCGAATATTTGAGATTTTCAAATCAATGGGATGGATAATAAAGGACGGGAATAAGAATTCCGTGAGCTACAAAGAGCATTTGATTGTTCATATATTAGTACAGAGCAAGTGTTCATACAAAAACCCTTCACCCTTCGGACAACCTTCCTGCACCATTGTTTCCTTCAGGTTATTGATGACTTGCATAATGGGCAAGATGGTTTCCTCCTTAGCCAGGGATCAATGCACTGTTCATATAGTCAAGAACAGAATCGATTCAGTCAACTGTTTAAACTATCGCGAAAAAACCGAGAGGGGTGAGGAGGGGGAATAGGCACTAACAGCTTTGTGAAACTTGTGAAGGCAAGGAAGATGGCGTATAGTGTCCCCGATTACTGGTGTATCGAAGCAAATCACACAAGCTTCTTCAAAGCTATCACTCTGCAAAAAAGGAGCACCGTTTTTATTATCAGATCCTGGGTCCTAAGCTGCATGTCCATGGCATTGCTCAAACAGTTTGTTAACAGTTTGTACGTGAGTCTCAACTCGCTAAAAGATGAAGGTTACAAACAAAGAACAAGCTCTATAGCCACAGTGCAAAGACATAAAATGGATCACCTGAACGATGGATTGTGGCAAACTATCAATCCGGGAAACAGATGAACTGCCGTGGTGAATATTCTCACCAAGTGCCGCTAACAATTCATCATACTCATTCCTGGAAGTACCCAAATGTGGTGGAGTCAGGACTCAGGCGTGTTTCTAGATTCAGAAACATAAGAACTTAATACTATAGGGATGAGCATTTCAAACTACAAATACAACTCCATTTCATCACCAGATATTAATTAGCTGTTCTCATTTTGGAATTAGAATAATAAGTTCCCTTCAAATTCATCATGACCCAAGGCAGCATTTATCAGGATTTGTGGGAAAAGATTGCTATTTTAGGAACGAGAAGATGCAAGGAGGCAACGAAGGAAAATTGAGACATTTACTTACATTGTAAATAGAAAGGGGACTCTAACAGCTAACATTTTGTGAAATCTAAATACCATATGTGCAAGTTAAGCAATCCCTGATCACTAACAAAGCAAGGAAGACATTCACTTAAGACAGAAAACAAGTTAAAAAACAGGCACACAAATCTCAACTGATTGCACTTCTGAAATTGTATGATGCAAAAGCCTACATCATAGACCCAAAACTGTTACTCCCACCTAAGAAATTCCCAGATAACTTTTTCAGCTAGTCATAGAAGGCACAAAAGACAAGTACAGAAAATCTTTATCATTACTCATTGAAGTCATGTTGGGTTTGAAGAAAGCTATCATCCTCCTCCGAGTCATCATTTATATCCACTATTGCCTCCAAAATGTCCATTCTCTGCTTAAAGAAGGAATGTTTGAACAGGTATCAACCAACTTGAACAAAACAATATCCAAACAATGAAAACAAAATTAACATAAAAAATTTTGGTAATAAACTAATATATTTCGCATCAGGAACTAAATAAAAGAGAGCCTCTGGATGACAATTTGTACACTCAGCATATAACAGCATATCAAGTAGTTACCAGCTCTACCTTCCATCCTGAGATATCAAAAACCTATAGTTGGCACTTTGCAATTTGTAAACAGGCATATGATTTAAAGATGATACATGCAATACTAGCACCCTTCTCTTAAACAAATTTAAGAGTCCAGTACTTAAGGTATGTGTTCCTCGCCTTCAATACTCCAAAGTCAAATTTATGTATGTCACAGTCAAAAGTTTGAAAACAAAAACGAAAGAATGTTGATCCACATTTTATGTTTTTCATATGTTGGGAAAGCTCGATCTAATCCCCAAAATATGAGGGGTCCACAAATTTCTTTGCCAAAGTTTGAGGATTGACAATTTCAGGACCCAGTACTTGATAAATGTGATAAGTTAATTTGACCGGACAAGTTGGTAAACAAATTATACTCAGTATGGAGGCACAAGGCATACCAGTTCAATATCCATGTCAGCTGAGAACAGAGAATCTATCTGTCTAATAGAGAATATAGCAGGCAGTCCACGATTTCTTGATCTGGTCATTCTATTGACAGTAGGAGCTCGATGTTGAAAACCTCTACGAGAAAGGACTGTAGCTGTGGTCGATTGTGGCTGCCTAGATGAGCTTTCTATAGATGACCTTCTCTGAATCACAGGAGCCCATGTAATTGTCTTAGAAAGATAACTGGTCTCATAAAACACTGAAATACAAAGTAACTTTCCATGAATTCATTAGCAGTATATCAAAAGTAAAAGTGAAAATAAGCATAACACACCGAAAAGAAGAAACATCCAAAAATTTTACTCTGCAATAGTGCTTGATAACTAATCAGAGAATCCAGAATAACTAGGGGTACTAAGGTCATATTGACAATATCAAGGCATCAAACAACTATAAAACCATTTCTAAGTTTCTATATATACATATCAATTTGAATAAAAAGCTTGTAATAGAAACCCGTGATATCTGCATAAAAAGGGATCAATCATAGAGCGAGCATTGACTTACAGAATTAGGCCCGTTTCTTCTCCTAGAAATCCTTGGTGATAACTCATATGCCTGCTGCACCGCCATTTCGTAGTGAGCATCTGTCTGTCATCAATAGGAATATTAAGAGAAATGAAAAAAATTGAAAAAAAATAAGCAAAGCAATTGTGACCAAGTGGTATTACCTCAATAACACCAACACTGGGTACTTCACCATGAAACTGTTCTTCGAGTAATATTTCATCAGCTTCTATTGGTAATGCCACAGCACCGGCGGCATTGTCACTATTGCTACCTTGGGTGCTAGGTCCATCAACTTCAGCTGCTAGAGTAGTCCCAGCAATCCTACTTCTGGTTTCATGCATCCTTTCTGCATTCCCAGATGAGCAATTAAGTATGACATCTCGACTATCCAAGGCTGCTCTGGAGCATTCACCACTACTACTTGATGTGAACCATGGCTTCTGCCTTTTTGCAAGTTCGTTTACAGTGGGAGGGCTGCGATGGGATACCATTTCTCATTTAAAGATATACACATCAAATTCAGTGAGCAATCAAAGCACGAGTTATGAAAAAACAGGGGGGCGGTGAAATGTCAAAACTCTTGGTCATTTAGCAGTCAACTGTCAAATACCTTGAAGAGTTTGACCAGAACACTTCTGCAGCAGGTTTCTTTCTTAAAATATGGGCTATTTATTAGCAATGTAAAATCGACGATGGTAACTGAACAACTACTACAATAGAATCTTATGGAAATGGCTAACAATTATCACTGAGACAGGGTCAACTCTGGAAAATTTGAACAGCCAGAAAATTAAGTACCATATTGGGGGAGATTGAAACGGATTAAGAAGATACCTGTGGGGTGGATGAGCACTTTGGGCATCAGGCGCTTCATGTGCTAATGCAGTATGCATAACTCGTTTACCCTTAGATGTTAGGGATTCATGGTCATTGTCAATCTTCTCCCTCCCCTCAATACCATTCAGTGGAGAAGTAGAAGTGATTGGAAATGTAAGATCAAGATGAACATCAGATTCCCCCGCGTCCATTCCAAGGGCCTCTTGGGCCCATGCAATACTCAGCGGGGAACTACAACCATTGCTGACCAACCTCTTTTGGCCAGTCATTCTATCTATAATATTAGAAGACCCAGGAGCAATCTTAACATCTCCAGCTTTCTGGTGAGCATCATTAGCACAAGTAACAATATTACCATGATGGGGGATATCAGAAACATCAACTTTATGATCGACATCCATCTGATCCATTGTCTGCACAAATTACCAAACACATATGACTGATATATTCAGCTGACTAAATTACCAAAACAATAATGCATGCACATTTACATCATATCACGAATGAAAAACTGACACAGATCACTCAAATGAAATAGTAAGACAAGGAAACCAAAATTGATGCCATAATGCCACAAAAAAAAACGTTTCACTTCCATCTAAAATGAACTCCATAACATAATCAGCCATTTACATCAATTATATTCTCCCATTTGTTCCTTTCGATCAACTTGAGATTAATAAGCTTCCAACTAGTCCACAATAAACAAGGTTTGCATACTAATGTAAACTGAAAAGGCCACAGATACAACACAAGAGTAGGTTCTTCGACGTTTTCCTTATCTGTTTGAGCTATTACATATGCCCCAAACGACTTCTCTAATCATATTAGTACCTATTCAAAAATGTTCTTCCCGTATTCACAGTGACTAGTTTCTACAATCCAGAATTTGCAGTTACACATTAAACTTGTCATAAATCAACATTCAACTCATTCAAGTCAGAATCAACAAACCACTGAATTGCAGGCGAATTTTCTAGGCAAACAATTTCCTTATATTCATAGTTCAAATTCACACCGACAATATTCTCATCGTCAAACAAATTAATACGAACATCCAGTAGTTTTTACAAAACCTATCTCAACGTCATCATCTTAAATTGATTTTTTTTGGATGTTACCTGAGCGTGATGATTGTTCGACGCTGACTCATTCTTGCCTCCGAAACTCCAGATTAGGTTCTCTGAAAATTCATCCCAAGAAAATTGCGCGCTCACCAGTTTTTTGAAATTCTCGTACCAGATTTTAGTTCCATCACGTAAGAAAGGCTCCACCCAATCCTTCTTCTCTGAATCAGGAATACGCAAGCTTGAGCAGAAATCGTTATACTTTCGAAGCCATTCCTTGGGATTTTCTCCAGCAAAATCTGGCGGCAATTCCATTTCCGTTTCCATTCTTCGTACTTCGTAGAGTCCAAAACAGAGTTGGTAGTGAGATTTTATAGTGTCTCGAAAAATTTATAAAATTTTCCTGATTATAAAACTATTTTTAAGAAGTGGAGGTCTAGAAAATCTAATAAAAAAGATATGAAGGTCTAAACTCTAAATATTAGTTTCCTTCTTGTACTTCCTTTTCTTTTTACTCTTTTTCATCCTCCTCTTTTTTTCTTTCTTTTATTTATTTATTTATTTATTTTTTGTTAGGTTTGTTCTTTTAGGCTTCATTTCGGTTTGTAATTTTCAATTAACGTTTATACATTTTCATATTATTCACAACATTTTATATTTTTTTGAAAACTAATATTGTTGTAATGTTTTCAAATTTTCTCTGTTTTCCTTTTCAGAGAGCAGGGTGTTTTTTTTTTATCACAATATTCAGGACCATCTTTTCATTGTAATCAATTAGTAACTGTATTCATCTTCGGAATGTTAGAAAGAAGATCGTGCATTCCAAAGCTAGGCAAATTCCATCATTGTCTTGTACAAACATCTCTGCACTAAACTGAACTAAATGTGGCATAACAAAAAGGGAACTGATAAAGATAAACAACAGAGAAGCCAAAACCTTAATACATACATAGAACTAAACCGCCGAGACCAAAAAAAATTGAGCAAGATCTGTGACGAATGTCCTAGAACAGCCGAGCGATTCCATTTTTGTCGCCGTTGCAGCAGGGGAATCGCGAATTCACTCTATGCATTGTTAAGGTATTTGTACCTTTTTATTATTCATCTGTTACGCATCCCCGGGAAGCTGATTGTACAAGCTTGATGTACTGCATTGAAAAGTGAAAAAACAAACGTTCAAATTGGTGAAGACAATCAGCTTCAAATGAAACTGCAGTAACAGTATATACTAAATCTACTCAAGAAATTTTTGACAGACCTTGTAAAGAGTTCCTTGAGAAGCCTTGTAAGGAGCAGGAGTCCATCTCTTTCTTCGCTCTTCTAACTCAGCATCTGTTAATTGGACATCCATTCTCCTCTCCCGGATGTCTATAGTGATGATGTCTCCATTCTCTACGAGACCGATAGGACCACCTTCCTGAAAATGAAATGCATCTTGTTAATATCAGAAGAACTTCTACTACACATGCTAGCTCATAATGTAAGAATTTGATTTTACTGAAATAATTGGTCTGGTTAGTCAAAAAACTGTCAGTGTTGATACATTCTCTTCAAATGATTGGAATGCAACTTTCCTAAAACTTGATTTTAATTTATTTTATCATTGAAAGGGAATATTCAATTTCCAAAATTATTACCTGTGCTTCTGGACAAATATGTCCCACGACATAGCCATGTGAACCCCCAGAAAATCTCCCATCAGTTAGCAGTGCAACCTCCTGCAATAGTCTTATCAATTTGCAACTGTCGTATCTCATAATCTCACTAATATTAATTCAGGTATGAGCCAAGAATACAAGAAAGAATATATCAATAAATCTCGAACACAACGAAAACTGCTGAAACAAAGTCATCAACCAGGATAGTATAACCTGATCACCAACATACCTTGCCAAGACCTGCCCCCATTATTGCACTAGTTGGTGTAAGCATTTCAGGCATTCCCGGTCCCCCTTTAGGGCCCTCTCCTCTAATGACCACTACTTTACCCTGCAAAGAAGAGAAACACATGGGAATGTAATCAGATCTTCCATTTATGACTGATAAAACAACCACAAGTTATCAGAACACTAGAGCAACTATCCCACCTTAAAACTCGAAGGATTTTCTGAGATAGCCTGAAGCATTGATTCCTCTCCTTCAAAAACAAGAGCAGGACCTGATATATGGATGCAGACAAACCACACCTTTAGCATCACACAAAGGTTAAAGAGCAAAACAGGAGTTTGATAAAATCAGCAATTGTCTGCAACGCAGATAACCTGAAAAGTAAAGCCCTTCTTTTCCTGTAATCTTTGCCACAGAACCTTCCGGTGCCAGATTTCCATACAATATTTGTATGTGACCAGTTTTTTTGATAGGGTTTTCTGGTGACCTGATTATTTTCTGTACAAAAGTAGGACAACATTAATCTACAAACTATAAAGCATTGCAGAAGCAAAACTTTAGGAAAAATAAAGATTAATATAGGTTCCAAGAATTTACCTGACCCTCAGACAGGGGGGGGAATAGTGCTGCATTTTCACCCAAAGTCTTTCCAGTAACTGTGCAAAAGAATGACAGCAAAGTGTTAAGTAATGCATGCAAATTAAAACTTTTACTGCTGCCAGAAGCCTCAGTGACAAAGAGAATGCATTCCCACAGCAGTATGAAGGAGCGATTTCAAGAGGAAAAAAAGCCATCCCCGGCTTCCTATTTCTAAGACCCGAAAAGGGACACAAAACAGGGTTCCATTCATACCTGTAATGCAATCCCCGTCTAAATATCCCAGTTCTAATAGGTAGCGGATGACTGCAGGTGTGCCTCCAATCTACAATAAAACATCGTCAACATAAGTAGTAGGTCACACTAAATATAGAGTAATATTTTTCGGAAATATAGTCGTAAACTAGAACTTATACCTTATGTACATCCTCCATGACATATTTGCCACTTGGCTTAAGATCAGCGAGGAATGGTACCTGGTCACTGACCTTTTGGAAGTCATCTAGAGTTAAATGCAAGCCAACAGACCTGCCATCATCAATTATAAGTTACTTTCAATCGCATGAAAGACAGATGGAGAACATTCCCATACCTCACCTAGCAATAGCAATCAAATGTAAGACAGCATTTGTTGATCCCCCCAGTGCCATAACCATAACCATCGCATTACGTAGCGACTTTGGTGTGATAATATCTCGAGGCTTCAAATCCATTTTTAACAAATCTAGAATATATTTACCCGCAAGGCGACACTCATCCAGCTTGAGTGGGTCTTCAGCAGGCGTTGAAGAGCTTGTCAGAACAAGAAAGCAACAGAGAAAGATAATCCTTGTAAGATACATAGCTAGACAACCGAAATCACAGATCAAACAGGAGTTCACAGCATTTTCTACCTGTAAGGCAGAGACATTCCTAGTGTCTCTATAGCGGAAGCCATAGTATTTGCAGTATACATTCCACCACAAGCACCAGCTCCGGGACAGGAATTGCGAACCACATCCATCCTCTGTGCATCAGTCACAGAACCACTCACATACTCTCCATAAACCTGTAGCATCAATTAGATTGAAAGACAAAAATTCATCAGTAACCATAAAACGAGAGTAAAAACCAAAAGTAACATTAAAAAGGTTAATTTTTAGACAGGTATTGTCGGTAATTTACTTAGTGAATAGGAGCTCTAATTTTTGCCAAAATAGCATGTATTACAAACTTTGAGCACAACCATCAAAGATTCAATGGCATGAAAGTAGGAGAAAGATAGAGAGAGCACGAAATGCATGTACCTGGAAGGCACTAACTATGTCAAAAGTGTGCCCTTGAAAATGACCAGGCTGCAGAAGGGAGAATAAAATATAACTGTCAGCAAGAACTAATATTGGTATATAAGAAATATTGGAAGAAAAAATTTATTGTTCAAGGTTATGCTAGCCACAAGTAGCAGCCGGAAAGTCTTCATGACTATCATCAAGCACTCAAAAGTCCATATCTAGAAATTAATGACTCTAACCTTGATAGTTCCACCATAAATCATAATGCTGGGTCGATTCAGCCGTCCCATAGCCATGATTGTACCAGGCATCTGCAAACAAGATAGTAGAACTTCAACAAAAATAATATTGCCGAAATTAACATCTCTTAGATGCTCAAACCATTAAGTTTCCAATGGAAAATGTTTCATACGATAGTGATAACAGAATCCATAAAGGAAAAGGTAAACTCAATCATTTAAAGTCATCGATAAGCCAAAGATAAACTTTCACGCAACCAACATCCATAGTCCTGATCCTCAACTTGTATGTGGACATTTTCCGTAAATCATTCCCTAGAGATGAGTTAACATTCATTCCTCCAACTATGCTTCTTAGAGATAGGAGTAAATGTATGATGCAAAATTGGGAATATCAGCCCAGGTACAGCATAAACTTTTGATCTGCTATTCTGAAAGTGCTATGGAACAACGACCCAGGATATGAATCCTAAATTTGGAAATGGTAACGGAAGAAACCAATTTTTGCTAACGCCAATATGGAACTACGCCCAGGAGATTTATCCAAAATTTGAAAATGGTGACGGAAGAGACCAATTTTTTCTTTTAAAAATTTTTAAAACTGATGCACAGTTCAGTTAGAAAACTTTGGAATACATAAAGAAACATTCATTACCCTGTTTAGAGAAAACAATTAAAAAAAAAAAAAAAGAAGAAGAACAAGAAAAAAGAATTCAACGACCTGGTTTAAAACACATAAAATGTGAATTAATCCTCTCACTGAACTTGTTAAGGAGTTCAGGCTCCAATTTTACAATCATCAGATGTCGAATATGATGTCCATAGTCATGATTCTCGAAGTGAATCACAGAACATAGCAATAAACATGAACAACTTGGCTTGCACCTTTGCATCCCGTTTATGAATTGCTTGCCTCGTTTACATACCACACAATTGTCATAATAATTCCACAAAATAATTAAAGGGCCCAACAGAGAACAGACATAAAATCATCAAACATCAAAAGAAAAAGATGGCACGTCCTTGGACATTCAAATTATAGCTATAATCTGTTCCCCTCAAAACGTTACAGCCATATGACATCTCAGCTTAATACCCAATAGCTCAGGGTTAAAAAACAACAGAAAGGAGAGCACATTCCCTTCTAAAATAAGACCCAAATCAGTCAAGACGTTATGGCAAGTAGTTAAGACCCAAACGAAAGCACGTTCAAATTATCATCCAAAGACTAATGAAATCAAAGTATATAGCTCAAGCCTATCACCAAAAATGAAATCAAAGAACCAGCAATAAACAACAATCAAAAGGAGGGACTTACATTTTTGTCACAACCAGGAATAGAAATGTTAGCATCATACCACTGAGCAGCCATGACAGTCTCAATGCTATCAGCAATCAAATCTCTCGACTGCAAACTATAGCACATTCCTCTGGTCCCCATAGAAATAGCATCACTGACCCCAACAGTGTTAAACCTAAATCCAACCATCCCAGCCTTCTCTACTCCTTCCTTAACAGCCTCAGCAAGTTTCAATAAATGCATATTACAAGTGTTCCCTTCATACCAAACTGATGATATACCCACTTGAGGCTTGTGCAAGTCTTCATCAGAAAGTCCTACACCGTAAAGAATCGCCTGTGAGCCACCTTGGGCCTTGGGCTCAGTGATTCTGGAGCTATACGTGTTCAATTTCTTTGGGTCAGGTGAGTTGGTGGATTCCGGCGGCGGAGAATCAGTGGAAGCCCGGATGGTCAACTTGGGGGCCCTTTGTGGTGAAGTGTGTAGCTTTGGGACATGGTTTTTACCGATAAATGTTGTAGGCGGGGTTAACAAGGCAGCCTGCATGATGGTGGTTGTGGAGGAAAGCGGAAAGAGGTGGGTGGAGAGCGGGGGCCGGCGGCTGAGATGCTACAGAAAATGAGAAATGGAACTGGGAGAAGTACAGTAGGGGTTTAGTGAGGGGATAAGTAAGTGCGGCGCGTGGGGAAAGCACTATGGTTCTTTTTTTTAAAAAAAAAAAGAAAAAGTTCAAACTTTATCGGGTTTTGACGGAGATACCCGTTTTGCTGAAATTAGCGTATTTAAACTGACGGCCGGCTTACGTGGAGTGCCTCGGTGGAGGTGCGGAATCTAGTCACTGAGTGGATGAAAAGGACAAAAGGACAAAAAGAAATACAATATCATTAGCCAAAAAAGTTCCCTGTATGTTTGGTTCGTTTTTTTAATGTGTGTTTTTAGGTATTTTTTTATTATGAATATAAAAAGATGTGTTGGAAATGTAAAAAGGTACGCTAGAATGGGACAGTTATTAATAAAATAAACTGAAACAACCATTAAAAGAAAAGCAAACAAACAAAGCCTCTATAATCCATGTGCAGTAGTATTAAGATATCGTTAACCTCTGTTAGGATTGAAACTGTGGCTAGCACATAACATGAAAAGTGTTTTCTACCCACAAAATATTTTAATTTTTTGATTTTAAGTTTTTACCTTCTTTCTTATGCTAAAAAGAATGTAAATCAAAAGGATCGATCAAGTTCGAAATCGAGTTAGTCTAAATGTATACTACATTCATCCGGTAAAATATAATTCACTTTAACATAAAGAGTGTGAATATTACCCATTCTAAATTTGTCCCTAAGTCTCTAGCAACTAAAATTTAAGCGATTTAAGTTGTGGTCAAGTAAAAAGTACACTATAAATAAAATCTTAAAGACATCAATTGCCTTATAAATAAGATCAAATAAAACCTTATGATAAAGATTGGAGGGAGTAACAATTTGTATTCTGTACTAAAATACCAAGACAAACATAAAGATCATTTGGGATTGAGGGCTTTGGTTAATATATCCAAAATAAAATTTTTTTAAAAATAGTACCCATTATAGATAGTTCATAAAACAGTGTACTCTCAAAACCAACAAAAACAAAAAGAAGTGTTTTCATAAGAACCTTGATCGCGCACAACATATTAACTAATTTTTATGGTTTAATTTTTAATCAGATTTTTTTTAATAACACATTTATATTATATTTGTTATGACATTAGTTAAATACTCAATCAATTTACTTTTATAAAATAATCCATTTCTACTAGTGGGATGAATTTGTTTTCATAAATCAATCATGAATCTATCTATATTATTGTTGAAACCAATGAGAGAATTCATCTATCTATCTATTATATTACTGTAGAATCTATTATATTATTGTAGAAATCAGTGAGAGAAAAAATGATATTGTGACATTCATTGTTTTACCAATAAAATGATGTTTCTTAAGTAAATCTGAAACAAAATAAAAAATAAAAAATTAAATTCAAAAATCCAATCCCACATCAACTACTGCTTATTACTTGCACAATCTTATCATGACAGTTACTTCCACGTGAGAGATTACCCCATAATCATATATGGGAGGCTACTGAACGCCTTAATTTTTTCATTTGAACGCCCTAAAAAATCTTAAAAAGACTATTTTACTCTTAGATACATATTTTTTTTTTTAAAAAAAAAGGAGGGGGCAAGGGAGCATTGCGTCAGCCGCCAGCCGGAGAAAGGTGCCACCCTTTAAAGAGTGGCGCACAATTTTCTCGCCGAGAAGGAATGTTACCCCCAAAATGAGCGTGGCGCACAAATCTGGCACTACCCCCCTTGGTTTGGCGAGGGTTTTGCTCGCGAAACCGAAATTACTTTTTTTAAAATTTTTTTTAATTTTTTCTATTTTTTATTTATTTAATTAATTATTTAATTTATTCGATTTATTTAAGTTTATTTTTTATTTATCTATTTGGCGGTTGAACAAATAATTTTATCTTAAATATTTTGATTTATTTTTTTATTCAATTTAAAATTATTTGTTCAACCGCTAAATAGATAAATAATTATTTTGAGTTAAAAATGTTTTATTTAAGTTAAAATTATTTGTTCAACCGCCAAATAAATAAATAAATAAAATTTAAATAAAAATTATTTGTTCAACCGCTAAATTATTATTTAACTTATAAATTTACTACCAAACAAATTAATTATTTATCATTGGTGCATCTAGCCTTCCTGAAAATATTTTTTTGGAAAAAGATATAAAATATTTCCATTCTTTTTAATTTAAAATAATTTTAACTCAAAATAATTTTAAATAAAGGTATTTTATATTTTTTTCATACTTTTTAATTTTTCATTTAAACGTATTTTATATTTTATATTTTTTTTTCAAAAAAATATTTCCAGGACGGCTAGATGGTCCGATGATAAATAATTAATTTTTTTTGGAAGTAAATACATAAGTTTTATTTTTTATTAATGACAATTTTTTGTTTACATTTAAAAAATTTTACATAATTAAATGATAAATTCTTATAAAAATTTACTATGTTATTAAACAAAATTCCCAAATATTTAAGTTAAAGTTATTTGTTTATTCACCAAACAAATAAATAAATAAACTTTAATAAATAAATATTTTAAATACATACATGAATTAAATAAATTAAATAAATACATAAATTAAATAAATTCATTAAACTAATAATTAAAATAAATAAAAGGAATTAATTAAATATATTAAAAAATAATTAAATTAAAAATAAATAAATTAATTAATTAATTAATTAAAAAGAAGATAATTAAGGTGGGTTGTGCACAAAATGGCGCGACTCACTCTTTGGTTGGCAAGTAAAAGCACAATGGGCGCCACACCGTCGCCATGCGGCGAAGGTTTTCTCGCCTCCCTTTAGAGGGAGACGAGATTATTTCGTGCCACACCATAAAGGAGTGGCTTATTCCTCATTTGCCATACTTTTTTTTTGTAAAAAAAATAATATAACTCCATTTTACAGGGACGTGTATGTCTTTTTAGAGCGTTCAAATGAAAAAATTAGAGCGCTCAACAGCACGACCCCAATCAAATTCTTTTTCCCGATTCAAAATCAACTAATCAACTAATCAGCACGACCCTAATCAACTTCCATTATAATACGGAAGACAACAATTTTGAGATGCAAAATCAACGGTTAACAACGCCTTCCACAATTCCTGAAGAAGACAAAATATGGAATTTTGGGACCATAGGCCATTTGAATTTTTGAAGCCATATATGGTTATTTCAAAAAAAAAAAAAAATTACCGAGCCATTTGATATTTTGGGAGATGGATGTTGGCTTTCTAATTAGTATTAATTACCCATCTTTCAAGAAGGGAAAAAAAGAAAAAGAAAAAGAAGGGTAAATAAAAAGAAATAACAATTGGCCTGATTATCCAACCAAACTCCTACCTACCTTAGTGGTTTTGAAATAACAAAGATCCTGTACATGTAGGCTTGTAGTACCTCTACACCTTTTCCAAAATATTATCAACTATACATGTTTTAAGTTAATTAGTAATTACAACACTTTCGTTTATTTTATGCACACGTATAACAAATTATTACAAAATGTGATCATAGTATAACTGATTGTAACTTTCATTTGTTTAGCATATAATTTTTACTTTATTTTCTTATAAACTAACATCAACAATTTGAATAGAGATGTCTAATCCTAAATCATAAAGTATTATAAACTCTAAATGCTCAAGCCACTAAAATAATAAATAATTGTGAAAAGTTTATATTTACATGCTAATATGTCACGCAGTGTCGAGCAGCACCCGGGTGATAATCTAGTAATACATTATCACTGATGGAGAGTGATGGTTAGTAGTCGGTATGAATATCTTGTCATTTTAAACTCAACAAGTATTGGTATTTTCTAAAACTTTTCTTAAAAATATTTTCAAACTAACATTTTAAGGAGATTTAACTCATTAAAACAAGAGTGAAATCATCGGAGAAGTGAATATACTATTACTAAAATAGACTTCATTCACGTTTGCCTCTCAATATGTTCGATCCTTTATTCCTTTGTGATCTTAAGTTGCAAGCTGCAAAACGTCAATTAGTCTTTTGCAGTTAACTGCTGCTTCTCTCACCAACTTGATAATTCTAACTCCTAAATAATTCTCATTTACTCGATGAAATGATTTGTCAAACTAGATGAAAAATATCATATTTTGGACTGGGGCGGGGGAGTTTGTTTTCTTGTTGGGCTACTAACCATTTTTTGGGCTCCTTTTTCTTTTTCTTTGTTAGGCTTGGATCATTGCTATTTGCTTACGGCCTTTTTTTTAATTGCAAAATTATGAAATTTCATGAAAGAAATAACCAGAGACATCAAGAAAGACTTAGTTCAAGTGCTAAAGGTCTGACTTAACCATGAACTGGGACCAAATCCTAGCATGAGCATGCATTAGTAATTAAAATACTTCTTAAGAAAGCTTTACCTCCCAAAATGAACGTATCAAACTCAAATCTAGATTTGCCGAAACAATGACTCCAACACCAAGTGCGTAAGATGTATATTAATAAAGATGAATAGCTGTCTAATAACATGATAAACCGTTCGGATCATATTAATTACCTTGTATGGAAGATAAGTTAACGATTGGCTAATAAGATTTTGTTGAAATTGTATTTAGTTTTTCGGTTACTGTTTGAGTGGTAAACTGGTCGTTTAGATTTTATAGCGTCATATGTATAAAATAGTAATTTTTTTACTATATATGTAATTTATGAAGTTTAGTCAAATTATTATTTCACAATTAGAAAAGTGTCTCGGTGCTCCCTCTTTGTTGTACACTACGACCTTTTAGAGGAGAAAGTAAGAAACTTATTACAAAAGCACTCATTGAGCAAGAGTTGAGTCAAATCAATGTAATCAGTTTTTAGAAACAAATACATGACCCAATAGAAGAAGTGATTAAATTTGGGCTAATAAAAGCCCAATTAGGGCCTACTCGTCCAACCCGACCGAAACAAACTGTTTATCAGCAATTTGGCCAGTTTGTTCCAAAGTTTTCAACTGCAGCTCCATTGGAAAAATTCCAAAACCATTAGATTTGGTCACGGTTTGACCCTTCAACCGTATGCAATACTAATAAGAAACTCAACGTTTTCGAGCCCTCCAACTTTAATGAAATTAAAATAATATAATATTTTTACTATTTTAAAATTATTGTCCAATAAAAATTCAAATTTTAACAATAATATTGAAACAAAGAAAGTATAAA